TCTCTCTCTCTCGGGCAGGGCCGATGGTGAGCAGGTTGAGCAGCGGCACTGCGACGGTGGTCGGCGGCGACAGCGACTGCCGCCGCGCACACCACGCCTACCTCGCCGCTGCCGCCACGAGGCCCGAGGCCCCCATTGCGTCGTCCCCCAATGCCAGGCTCTGCCGCCTCATCGCCCGCGACGACCTCGCCGAGGCCACGCGCCTCGTCGACCGCTCACGCGGGGAGACACCCGACGCCGCCGTCGTGAAGACCAACGCCGGCGAAGTCCATGAGCCGAAGCACCAGGCACACACAGCCATGGACGGCGTTGAAGTGGTGAGTGCACTTATCGGCTAGTACTATGACTGGCTGGTGCTGGTGCTGCGGAGAGGCGGCGTTGGCGGGCGAGAGCGGTGTACCACGAGCTCTAGCACCAGCCCGTTGTAGTACTGGCCGATAAGTACGCTCACCACTTCAACGTCGTCCATGGCTGTGTGCGCGGCCACCGCCGCCGTTGCAGTGCCGCTGCTCAACCCGTTCACCATCGGCCCTGCCTGCGAGAGAGAGAGAGCAGAGAGGGGAGGAAGGGAAAGAGAAGAGAGGAAAGAGAGATGACGTGGACACCTGACATGTGGGACCCACGTGGGTCCCACGCTGACTCAGCCGCCCCGTAGACCAAAACTGGAGTCAAAACCACCGAAGGATCTCGGGTGATCGGTTTTGTATAGTTAAGGGACCCCATATATCTGGTTTTGCGGTTCGAGGACGCTTTTTTATCCCGATGACAAGTTGAGGGACCTTCGGTGTACTTTTTCCGGAAAAAAATTCTGCTAGATGGGCCACATTTTCCCAACAAATATCGGGTTCGGCCTCTAGGCTTCCATCCACGAACGGGGGCTCTCACCGGCCCAGCCGCCGCCGACGCGCTCTGCTCCGCTCACTCTCTCCCCACCGCCCACCGCATCCGAAGCACGCCCCTCCCTCTCGGTCTCGTCGCCGCCGGTGCGACCGCGGTTTCCTCCTCCCCGCTCCACCTCCGCAACACAACCGTCTTCGAGCCTCGGGCTTCACGTCGACCTCATCGGCAATTCGGCACCGCACCCTCCCCTCCCCATCGCCGGGTTCGCCTTCTCCGCGCGCAACTCGTCGCGTCCTCGAGCTCGGCTAATTAACGATACTTTTACTGATTACTGAAGCGGTTAACGACAAGTCCAACTAACAAAGTCGTCGGGTTGGTGTCAGTGGCCCAGTGTGCCACCTACTCCTCCTACTCAAAGCCTCACCGCCTCAGCATCGCACGACGCCTAATTAATCAATTCCTCTCCCGCGACACGCGCGCGAGCTCAACTGCCTCGCTTCCTCCCTCCTCCCGATCGACCGCGCCATGGCTGCCGCCGCCGTCACCAAGTCGCCGCCGGCGCTGGTGCCCCCGGCGGGGCCCACCCCGGGCGGCTCCCTCCCGCTCTCCTCCATCGACAAGACCGCCGCCGTCCGCGTCTCCGTCGACTTCATCCAGGTCTTCCCCTCCTCCGCCGAAGCCGCCAAGGACCAGGCCGCATCGGTCGCCGCCATGCGGGAGGGTTTCGCCAGGGCGCTCGTCCACTACTACCCCGTCGCCGGCCGCATCGCGGAGCCGGTCCCCGGGGAGCCCGAGATCGACTGCACCGGGGAAGGGGTGTGGTTCATCGAGGCCGAGGCGAGCTGCTCGCTCGAGGAGGCGCGCAACCTCGAGCGCCCCCTGTGCATCCCCAAGGAGGAGCTGCTCCCTCGCCCGCCGCCCGAGGTCCGCGTCGAGGACACCGTGCTCCTCGCGCAGGTACGGATTCCATCACCCATTGTTACTTGAGCTAAATTTTCCACTGCAAATTTGGTCTGGATCTGACTCCTGAGAGGTTGGGGGTTGTGGATCTGTGGGGGTGAGGAGGGTTGGTCACCATTGCTATCGTTGACTCGGTAATGTGGGGATGTCAATGGCGGCAATGGTGTGAAAGGAAAAGGTCTAGCTGAATTTCTAGATTGAACTTGCTGCAACTGCTCAATTGTGTGACTGACTCCACTCTGCAGACAGTGTGACTGACCAATCTGAACTTGCTGATGACTTCTGACTTGCTTTAAGACGTAGTACTACTAGCATAAACTTCTGACTTGGTGTATGTATACAGTATCACGCACTACTGATCCCAAGTGAAAGTGATCTATAGCTCCGGTGGCGCGGTGAGGTGAACTGGACCGCGCGGTGTGTGTCCTTCCCTCAATCCTCATCCTGGTGGCACTTCTCTCCTCGCCTTCTAACCGTTGGATGGATGGACCAACCGACTGGATCATCCGACACTCTCGTAGTCTTATGCCCTGCTTGAGTTGCATTACCCGACTTTGAACCGCACACGCTCCTGAGTCCTGAAGTGTTTCTGGGAGATATATTAAGGCCCTCAACGAAATTTAACAAAACCTTTGACACAAACTGCTCAATTCCTGAGTCCTGAAGTGTTTCTGGGAGATATATTAAGGCCCTCAACGAAATTTAACAAGGCCAATCACACTGTCTGCTCAATTTCTAGATTGAACATACACATATTTGACACAAACTCTAACAGCTAGACAATAAGCCTTGGAAAATTTTGTACAAGATATCGAAAGCAACAGATGCTGCAACTGCTCAATGTCTGGACACCGGAATTTTCATTTTTGCTTGCTGCTGTTAGTGAATTCCATAGTTCCAAGCTTGCATGTGACGAAGAGATGGTCTCATGATGACATGGCATGCCTGGGCTGATCCAATCTGTTAGGTAGTTCATGAGAATTGATATCCAACCTTGCAAATCATTGCCATGCTTTCTCTTCCAAGCTTGTGAGGATGAGGGTTCACATAGTACTGTCCTTTCTACCTACATAGCTTAATTACATTCAAGGCTGCAAGGATGAGGATGAGGGTTCACATACCCCTAATGCTTTTTGGATACTATGATATGATACTCCCTCCGTCCCAAAATATATTTTGGGACAGAGGGAGTACTTAGTTACAAATAGATTTTGGTTTGATTCACATGATGACATTATGCGTGCTTCTCAATAGGTTGAATGTTTTAACTTTCTGTTCTAAGTTCAGTGAAATTTTTTCATGTTGGATGCTAAAGAGGTACTAAGTCGATGACAATTTTCATGTAAATGTTGTTCATGCCACACATCCTTGGTACCACTACCTGTTAAAATAGTCTGACACTAAGTTGACATTGTAACATGGCCTGTATTAGACTAGTTACTGAATTTGCATGTTCTGTGATTTGAATGATTAGTTTTTCAATTTCCTTTCCTTCAGATTACGAAGTTCACATGCGGTGGATTTGCTGTGGGCATTTGCTTCAGTCACTTGGTGTTTGACGGGCAAGGTGCAGCCCAGTTCCTGAAAGCAGTTGGTGAGATGGCAAGAGGGCTCCCTGAGCCATCACTCAAACCAATTTGGGCCAGGGATGCCATTCCCAACCCTCCCAAGCCACCTCTAGGACCACCTCCATCGTTTACTGCATTCAACTTTGAGAAATCCGTCATTGAGATCTCGTTGGATAGCATCAAGCGTGTCAAGGACCAGGTCGCAAGTGAGACCAACCAGAAATGCTCCACCTTCGATGTGGTCACTGCCATGATGTTCAAATCCCGTACTTTGGCTATTGACTTTGCACCTGATGCCGATGTTCGTCTGGGTTTTGCTGCTAGCACACGTCACCTGCTGAACAATGTGCTGCCTTCAGTCGACGGCTACTACGGTAACTGTGTCTACCCTGGTGGCCTCGCCAAAACCAGCCAGGAGGTCAAGGATGCGTCGCTCGTAGAGATTGTGACAGCGATCAGGGAAGCCAAGGATGTGCTCTCGACACGGTTCCTCGATTGGATGAGCGGTGGTGCCAAGGAGAACCATTACAATGTGTCGCTGGATTACGGCACACTAGTCGTCACAGATTGGAGCCATGTCGGGTTCAACGAGGTGGACTACGGGTTTGGCGAGCCGAGCTATGTGTTCACCCTGAATGATGATGTGAACATTGTGCCGTCCGTCGTCTACCTGAAGCCGCCCAAGCCGAAGCAGGGAATCAGGTTGGTGCTGCAGTGCGTGGAGGCTCAGCACTCCAAGGTTTTCGGTGAGGAGTTGCAGAAGCTTGCATAGAGGTAACTTCGTGTTTATACGCCTACACTTCGCAGCGTTGAGAGCTGTTGTATTCTGGTGTGTTGAATAGCCGCTTCTTGAACTTGGTTACAAATAAAACAAGGTGGATCGTGTTTGTATTCTGTATTGTTGTTACCATACTACATTATACATTGATTGACATTGTTGAGGCAGTACTGTTACAGTTGAGAACAAATGATTCCATTGATTTCAAGAATTTGTACAATATAGTCCTACATGAACATTATCTTTCATTTTCCACCTATATGGTCAAGCCTGAGACGGCCTATTTGTCATTCTGTGGATATACGCAGGAAGATATTTCACATGTCGTAGTAACATCATATGCCTATTTACCACCAATCTGTGAAACCTATTCATAACTCTGTGTGATGAAACATTCTCAGTACAGTGCAGTCAGACTAGCATCATGGCTTTGTCTTTTGGCTTATTAGCCACAACAAAAATATTAAAATTTTAAAACTTAATTTTAAAGTCTACCTTTAGGCTTTTCGATTGTTGTTTATTTTCCAGCATTAGTTTTTAAATCACTAAGGACAGTTTAAAGATACACAAGTTTTTTTTTTTGGGTAACGATGAAATCATTAGAGTTTAGAAGACTAGCCCTTGATCATCCAGCTTCAGTAGTGTTCCAAGTTCGTCAGGGCCCGATGGAGCTCAGCACCTGAGCAGATTCAGAAATGAATCTTAGGGGGGAGAACAGTAAGAACACATGTATGGTCATGTGAAGTCCACTAATCTTCCAACCACGAGGAGCTACCAACCCACTGAAACACTGTCCTCAGTTTGTCACAGATCAGATCTAATCATCTATACCTAACAAAAATGCCTGAAAATTCCACACGAGAAAAAGAAAGGCAAAAAAGAAGTCAACCACTCTCACTGAGCATTGAGAGCTCGTGCTCGCCACTTAGCAACAACCACTTCCATTCATTGGGGAGGGAAAGCGGCAAAGCACCAGCCCAGCCAGCGCGGCGCCAAACTCCACCTACCGACGAGAGAGAGAGAGAGAGAGAGGGGGAGGGCATGGCCGCCGCCGCCGCCGTCGCCGCCGTCGCCGCCGCGGCCGCGGCCGCGGAGCCCACCGTCTCCAAGTCGGCGCCGGAGCTGGTCCCGCCCGCGGGGCCCACCCCGCGCGGCGCGCTGCCGCTGTCGTCCATCGACAAGACCGCCGCGGTGCGCGTCTCGGTGGACTTCATCCAGGTGTTCCCGCCGGCGACCGGCGGGCCCGCGGCGGACGGCCAGGAGGACGCCGTGGCCAGGATGCGCGACGGGTTCGCGAGGGCGCTCGTGCCGTACTACCCGGTGGCCGGCCGGATCGCGGAGCCGGCCCCCGGGGACGTGGTGGTGGACTGCACCGGCGAGGGGGTGTGGTTCGTGGAGGCCACGGCGAGCTGCACGCTCGCCGACGTGAACAACCTCGAGCGCCCGCTCCTCATCGCCAAGGAGCACCTCCTCCCTCGCCCTCCGCCCGAGGAGAAGCTCGAGGACCTCATCCTCATGGCTCAGGTTCGCACCATCTCCTCCCCAATTCCCAATTCCCACGATGCAGCTGCTCGATCGATTGATGGTTGAATCCAGCGAGAGAAATTTTAGGCGCTGATTAATTCGAGATCTTGTTGCTTTGCACAGGTGACCAAGTTCACCTGCGGCGGATTCGCGGTGGGGATCTGCTTCAGCCACCTGGTGTTCGACGGGCAGGGCGCGGCGCAGTTTCTCAAGGCGGCGGGCGAGATGGCGCGGGGGCTCCCGGCGCCGTCGGTGCCCCCGGTGTGGGACCGCGACGCGATCCCCGACCCGCCGAAGCCCCCGCCGCGCGGGCCGCCGCCGTCGTTCACGGCGTTCAACTTCGTGACCCAGGTGGTGGACGTCTCGCCGGAGTCCATCGCGCGGATCAAGGAGGACTTCAGCGCCTCCCCGACGGGCGGCGGCCAGGCCTGCTCCACCTTCGACGCCGTGACCGCCGTGGTGTTCAGGTGCCGCGCGCTCGCCGCGTCGTCGCTCCCCGACGACGCCGAGGTCCGCCTCGGGTTCGCCGCCAGCACGCGGCACCTGCTCGCCGGCGTTCTCCCGGCGGTGGACGGGTACTACGGCAACTGCGTGTACCCGGTGGGGATCGCCCGTCACCGCGGCGCGGTGCGGGGCGCGGCGCTGGCGGAGGTGGTGGGCGTGGTGCGGGAGGCGAAGGAGGCGCTCGCGGCGCGGTTCACGGACTGGCTCGGCGGCGGCGGCGGCGGCGACCACTACGACGTGCCGCTGGACTACGGGACGGTGACGGTGTCGGACTGGAGCCGCGTGGGGTTCAACGAGGTGGACTACGGGTTCGGCGAGCCCGGGTACGTGTTCACGCTCAACGACGACGTCAACATCGTCGCGTCGGTGATCTACCTCCGGCCGCCGGCGCCCAAGCGCGGCATCCGCCTCATGCTCCGCTGCGTCGAGGAGCCGCACGCCGCCGCCTTCGCCGACGAGCTCGCCAAGTTCGCCTAGATATACGTGCCATATTGCCATGACGATGTGTGTAAGGATCTCATCTCATATCATTTGGGTCACAAGTTCACAACCCTGCTGCTGCTGGTTTGTGCATGTAAAATTCGATCAACGTTGGAATTCGTGACGTTTATTCGTGTCTTAACGAGACGTTATGTCGTAACTTTGGCGCGAGAGGGAATAAAATCCAGTGAAGTCTCTGGTTTACATCTAGTCGGACTATCACCGTTTGGTATAACCGATTTGAGATATTTTGGTGTGTGATTATGATCGTTCGGACAGCCTATTCTGCGAAAATGCTCAAAATGGGACGCTCCCCCCCCCCTCCCGCCCCCGCGCGCGCCCCTCCCACTCGCCTCCACCATTCGCGTCTCGTTGCAACAAATCTCCCACATATTACAGAAACACCCTATTAAGAGAAATCCGGTTTTTTTTCACCAACAATGTTTTAGCTAACGTACTCATGATATTTTATTGTGTATGGATGAAATGATGTTTTATTGTGTATGGATGAAATGTTACAGTGGATTTTGTTATAGTTTCATATTTTCATCTTAATGTACACGTGGTTTGTTGATGTACACGGGGTTTAAGTATTGCAGTGGCTTTTAATTGTTTGTTGCATACGTTGAACCAAATTCTTTTATCCAGTGATCTTACTGTGTTTCACTACTTTTTTTTAAGAATTAAAATATTTTTTTCGCTATTTACTGAAACATTATTTTTATATAGGGTGAAACAACGGTCGATTTTTTAGAAACGGTTGTTTCATACGTTGTTGGTAATGTTTCAGCTTTTTACAAAATTGAAACATTTTCGACCTACTTAGTAAAACATGTTCGATCTACTTGGTGAAACAGCGACCAATTTTTTTTTTAAAAAAATCGGGCGCCTAATTTGTAGGCGCCTCGCCTATTCTGCAATCGCTTGCAATTTTGGGTGGTTGTCAGTCGATTCTGTGCGCCGTGAATTATGCATCCAACGGCATGCTGAAACACAAAAAGGAAAAAAGAGCTTGCGCAAAAAAAAAAACGAATGAAGGTTTTGGGCCCATAGTCTTTTTGTTTTGGACTACTTTGGGCTTTGGGCTTTGTGTAGTGTTTTGGGCTAATATCTGGGCCATGTGAGAGAGATGCACTGTGATCTTCTCTTTGACTGGTTTGCATGCATGTGCCTTTGGGATTTTGTCAAAATATTTTGGGCTTATAATCGTCGGCAGGCTGCCGTGACTTCCGCTCTGAGTGAACAATATAAATCTTTGGCTGAAAAGAACTTTTAATCCATAAAATCGAATTAGTTTTGTTTCATGCATCTGGGCTTTGGGCTTTATGACATTATGTGTTGCCTCTCAAGACAAAGCAAGACACGTGAAGGGTGAAGAGAGGCAGGACCAAAACTCATACCAAGAGACACACCCATATATTCCAGATCAAATGCACTATATTGGATTAGAGGAAGCAAGAGGATCAGGTCGATCGAAACCACAGGGACAAAATCAGTAGAAAATACAAATCATCAGATGTAATTTCTATTTTTTGGTTGATATGTAGCTGCTTGATCTGTCTGCCACCGCTCTTTTTTCTGTTGTAGTTGAAAAAAGTTCCAGTCCTCTGAAACCAAAAAAAAAAAAAGGGACAAAAAATAGTCTCAGTAGTGTTGTTTTGGATTGGATGTCTGATTCCATCAATATATGAAATGACAATGCTTTAGGATCTCATTTGCACTTAGTGGGTCATAACTTTATAGATTGAAGGGATTATGGCTGAAATGACAATGCTAAATGCAAATGATCGTGAGAGATTCATGAAAATATATCTTACAAATTACAATCTCACATGTGCGCATGTTGGCCATGAAACTGTCATACGTACATGCACATACTATCTTCTTTATTTATACCTTCTTTATTTATCACATTACAACATGCATCAGATATATATAAAAAGCAAGGACCTTTCATTATTGTATCATTACACTTATAGCTAGACACAGCTTAAAACTAATTAGCCAATCTTGGGAATCTCGGCCACAGTGTCGACCCAGAGGATGACACGGTTCGGGACGACCACTCCCAGGATGATGGTTCCTACTGGGAGCACCTCAACTTGGAGGTCTGGACGGTCAGCCTTGATTTTCGCCTTGGCCTGCTCGATGGTGAGGCCAACTAGCTCCGGCCACTCCGTCTTAAGACCACCACATGGCTTGCTGTCTGATGAACTCATTCTGGTCACAGCAAATTAATGAAGCAAAATTCCTGCAAATATAGCTAGGATTAATTTGTTGTTGTGTACACGCAAGGCACTTAATTCGAAACACTCTTTCATCAAATTAAGATCAGAACAGGTACTTACAACCAATTGAAACTGCTTGCTATCGAGACTGAAACGGGTGTTATTGTCCAGCAGAATGATAGATGCTCTATTGATCGATTCTTAAGTTGTGTGTGCGTTTGGTGTATGAGGGATGGAGTTGTGTGGTGTATTTATAAGATGAGAAAAGAAGCAAAACGTGCAATTTTTCGGTGCCGTTAATGGATAGGCTTCCCAGTTTGCTGAGATGAGATATACTTGTAGACTTATTAATCCTTCTGGACTCAGAAAATTCACGGATGTAAAGGGTGGCACGTGTGTGTGGTGGAGACTCTACTAGTCAGAGAAAGAAAGTGTCAATTTGTTAAGGTAGTACTCTTCTGCATATACCACTTGGTGCCCAGATTTGCAGAAAACGATATGATTAATAAACATTTTACAGGTCAAATTTACAATGTGCAACGTGGATATAAATATGATTCATTGGATCATGCCATTGTAACTTCTTCAATACTAAAATATACCACTACAATTTATGGAATTTTAGACATGCTTAATTTAATAGGTATTTCAAATATGCCACTACATGTGTATTTCTTCGATGAACCAACTTGTCCATGTCTTCTTTTTTTTTTTTCATCCCCTCCTCCTGTTCATCTTCTGCACCATTACCATCAGAGATGGACTCGGCCAGTTATCAGCATGGAGCTATAGCTTAGAGCAGCACTGCAGCAGGCAGCCAAATCCATCCAAGCTTGTTGCCGCTGCCTGTTAAATGCATCGAATAGCTAAGCACTGACATATCACTAATGCTTATTTTTGGTTCTACCATGATTATGGTTTCATTTCCTCTCTGCGCCACATAGCTACTACTATTATTTAGCTCGAAATTAATTAAATCTTCCTAGCTCCAAATGCGTTTAGAAGAATTAATTATACTCAGCTCTATATGTGCAAGGTTCATCGTCAAAATTCAAATCTGCAACCCACAAGTAGCCACGCACCATATGGCCAAATGTCCCCATGTCCAAATCGTTGAATATGCATCCAACAACCCCTCTACACGTGGGTGCACATGCATGAAGATTGAAGCCTATCCACTAATGACTAGTCCACGTACCGGCCCGCTTTGAAACTTCGTTATTTACACACGTTGCTCGATGTATTGGTGTGCTGTGTTTTTTTTTAGACCAAATTGCTCCGTTCATATGGTCCTATAAATGCACGCATATACGTTACACAAATCCAAATCCATATCCACACATCGCGGTGCAAAACCAAAACCCACTGCAGAGAAGAAGCATCGATCAATTCAAGTTACCAAGTACGTACTCCTGTCTCTACCGTATGTGTCTACCTGTTTAGGTTCTTTATTATTTGAATCTACACATGAGGAGAGGTTCCGTTTTTTGATTAGTGGCGTTTGGAGTCATCGTTTCGCTTATTCACGGCATATTTGTAAAGAAAAATAATTTATGAATAAAACTTTTATGTGTATGTTCTTAGCGATTTAAAAGTAAAGGCTGAAAAATAAACTTCGATAAAAAAAACCTTGAAATCAGCTCCAAATTTAAGGTTAAAAATTTAAATTTTAATTAATAAGCATAAACATAAGCGAAAAGATGAGGCTCTAATTAAGGTCCCATTTGCAACAATTTTAAAGAACAAAATATGATTCAACAAGTAATTAACATAGAAAGGTGTTTCTTTGATGATCTGAAGATGCAGTAATCATGAATTAACCACTCATAATTTGCAGGCAACTTGGATCTTCTCGATTGTTTCCTTGCGAAGATGAGTTCCTCTTAGACCCCCAAGACGGAGTGGCCCGAGCTAGTTTGCCGGACGATCAAGGAGGCCAAGGAGAAGATCAAAGCAGACCGTCCAGATCTCAAGATTGAGGTGGTTCCGGTAGGCACCATCGTCACTCAAGAGTTCGACGAGAATCGCGTTCGCATCTGGGTCGACACAGTGGCAAAGACCCCCACAATCGGTTAAGCTGAAACCCCGATATAGGCATACATCTAGCAAGTGTACGTCCATGCAAGTATTTCTGGATATGGTCCAGTATGATAAATAAATAAATAAATAAATAAATAAATAAATAAAGCTGTGTATGAGCGTGTGTGTGCTCATGCATGTGTGTGTTCACGGTTAGCTTTTTTTTTTTTAAATTCTTGCATCAATAAAAAGTACTACGGAGTACGTATGTACTCTTTGAACAATGCGTTATACGACAAATGAGATGTGTGTCCTCAATCGTTTTATCTGAAAAGATATCAGCATAAGTACAAAATTGCTGCTGTTTACAACGTTTCTTCCCATCTTTACCTCTTTTTAACTTGTACTGCCTCCTTTCCCACGCACACGTTTCTCAAATCGTTAAACCGCGTGTGTTTTTCTAAGGGTAACAATAATGTATATAACAAAAATAGTCCATATAAATGGGACCTATGTATAGAGCTTTTAACTATTGTATAGTGCTACTGAGTCCCATCGCCGCCGCGCTCAGTAGCAGCCACGGCCGCCTCCCACCGCCGCCACGCGCAGCAGCAGCCGAGTCCTTATATACATAATTAACAGGTTGTCAATACGTAAAAATCCTCCTAAATTTGTATGGATTGAGACATTCTTTAGGAATCTCATATGATTCAATAGTTTCCAATTCTTTATTTCAAAGGGTCATATAGTGAAAGTGCATTTATGCCCCTAGTGGGTTTTGGTTTATTGATGACAAACGATTAAGGGACTAATGCACTTATTGAGTGTATAAGCAAGTGATTAGAACAATGAAGAAGCTAGGAAATAGACTTATAGATGGATGAGAATTAAAGAGAAGATATTGAAGATGCGGGTATGAAGTGACTACCTATGGCAAGATGGTGAAGCGCAAGCGACGCTTAGCTACAATGGACCATGCAGTGGTGAAGGGCAAGCAAGGGGCTTAGCGCCGACGAACCGAAACCGGTGGTGAAGGGCGAGTGAAGACTGTGTCGTGATGAACCGTGCGAGGCCATTTGAAGCCATGGATTATCCGTATTAATCATTTGAGAAATGGAAGATGAAATGTCAAAGATCAAGAAGATGAGATCTTCCCAATGATCAAATGACCTTGACGTTGGTAACCCTCCAAGTGAAGAAACAATATGGTGTGAAGGTACTCCTATTGGTATAACTTTGCTTTTTAAATTTGAGTTTAGGATGCCGTACTATTAAGAGGGATACCACATGCATATAATTGGTTGAATACTAGTGCTCAAAATGCTTCATGTTTGTGTGAGTTGAAAAACCTAAGCCAAAATTTTAATCCCGAGTTGTTTCACTTGTCACAACACTTACATCGGGTTTCATTGCAAGTTTTTCAACATCTCTTGAAGGTTTTGGACCATGTTTTATATTGGGTTTGATAGCCCACGAAACTAGCTTTCCATAGAGTCCAAGATCTTCGAAATCGGAGTTCGGAGTAAAAAGTTATTGCATTTTTACTTGAGCAGATGTATCGGACTATCCGATTTTTCACAGAACTTCATTCTCTGTCTTTGTTTGAAAAATCCTTTCGAGTGAGTTTTTCTAAGTGTCGGAGTATCCTATGTTGGATCAGATAGTTCGATGATACAGAGACTCCGAAATTTCATAGAACTTGAGTCTCTGTTTGAGGACGAAGTTTTTGCTTCTAAAATATCAGATACTCTGATTTAACATCAGATAGTTCGATGTCTCGGAAAGTCCGAAATTTCATGGAACTTCGTTCTCTGTTTCTCGTTGCCTTGAAGGTTTAAAATATCGGATTATCCGATCTTGTATCGGACTATCCGACGTGGGCTGAAAGATTCCCCTCCAACGGTCACATTTTGGGGGATCTATATAAACCCCCCACCAACCCTTTTCTAGGGTTGCCCAAACTGATTTCATTCCAATCTTGCTTTGGGTTGAGCTTTGTGCTAAGTGCTTTGGATCTTTGAGCTCTCTCCCTCTCTATCTCAAATCCCCCTTGTTCTTTGTGACTTGGATCTTTGTGTGTGGATTTGGTGTTTGGGAGCCTAGTGTGTGTTTCTCTTTATCTTGAGCACTAGGATTTGTCCAAGAGTCGTGTGGTGTTTATTACTCTTGGAGGTTGAGGATTCCTAGACGGCTAGGTGTCGTTCTTGGGCCACCGATCTACGTGTGGTTGGCCAAGAGAAGTTTGTGAAGGCCGGATCTCGCCTCCGCAAGAAAAGAGATACCCTTAGTGGAAGGAGGAGTGCATTTGTGCAACCTCACGAGGATAGGGTTGAAAAAGACCCGGCTCTTTGCGAGCCCCTCAACAGAGACTAGAATCCCCTCAAGGATTTGAACTCCGGGAAATACATTGGCGCGTAAACCTCGGTGATATGCTCACTCTCTTTACCTTCTTGTACCATTGCTTTGTGCTATGCTAATATTGTTATTGGTCGAGCTCACCTCTTTGCTTGTGGATTGAATCTAGAGCTCTTAGGTTGTTCTCTTGTTTGTATTGTTGTTGTGCAGGTCAGATAGTCTGATCTCAGTTCAGACTATCTGATCACATAGGACTATCCGACCTGATATCAGACAATCCGATCCTGTTTTGTTTTAGCTTTCGCATTTATTTAAAAAATCGCCTATTCACCCCCCTCTAGGCGACATCAAGATCATTTCATATAGGAAAAATAAATCCTATATAGGATTATAATCCTAAAAAAATACAAAATACCTATACTTTTCTTTTAAATCAAAGAGCCTAAATGTCTTGTAAAATACACTTGCAGAATTATGTTTGGCAAAATTTTGATTTTTTTTCTTTGGTTTATGCAAAATTGGTCCTAAAATTAAGGGGCAATTACTTATTTTTAGTAATTGACCCTGTTTCGATACCTAACTACCAAATTAACCCTAATTAACCCTACTTTTTTGAAGTTTGCTTATTTGACCCTTCTTTTCAAAAACGAATGTACTATCTGACCCTAATCCGTTAAGGTGAGTTAACGGTGTTAAGCTATGGACAAATTATCTCTTTTGTCCTTGCTTATTTGACCATGTTATCAATTTTGAAGAATTGAGGTGAACAATTCAATTTGATAAATTTGATATCAATTTTGACAGATTGTTGACACAATTATAGAAGATTTTTAAAAAATTTCAACAGCATATTATCGTATTTTGTGATCCAAAATTGCATTTAAGTAAGCATATACACAGTTAAAGTCAAATACAACAACAAATTCATGTCCAACAAATTCAAGGAAGAATATACATAGTTAAAGTCAAAACCAACAACCAAATTCATGTCCAACAAATTCAAGGAAGCATATACACAGTTGTAGCTGAATCCGCGCTCCCACCACCACCGCGCACACCAGCAACCGCCGACATCCCGCTGCCACCATGTGCCACAGCAGAAGCCACCTCCCACCGCCACCATGCACAGCAGCAGCAGTCGAGTCCCGTCGCCGCCGCGCTCAGTAGCAGCCACGGCCGCCTCCCACCGCCGCCACGCGCAGCAGCAGTAGCCGAGTTCCGCCGCCACGCGCAGCAGCAGCCGAGTCCCGCCGCTGCCGCATCAGCAGCAGCCGCGGCTGCCTCCCACCACCACCACACTCAGCAGCAGCCGCGGCCAAGTCCTGCCGCCGCCCCGCTCAGCAGTAGCCTCCCACCGCTACCCCGCGAAGCAGCCGCAACTGACTCCCACCGCCGCCATACGCAACCACCGTCTGCGCGGATCCCCTACCTCCCTCCACGGCCTGCCACCGTCGCCGGTGCTCCCTCCCTCCACAGCCGGCACCGCAGCAGATCCATGCCCCTCCCTCCCTCCACGGTCCGCCGCTGCCACCGGTGCTCCCTCCCTCTACCAACCGGTGCCACCGCTTACTACCGTGCGTTGCCGCCGCCACTCGCCGGGGGAAAGAGAGAAGGGATACGAGAGAGAGAGAATGATATGGGATGGGATACACAGAGATGTGGATAAGGTTGGAGGGTATTTCGGTCACTACGAAAATTTATTATATTTATTTTTTTAAAAAAATGATTCTTAACGGTGTTGTAGAAGCAGGGTCAGACGGGGTGTTTGTTTTCAAAAATCAGGGTTAAATAGTAGGGTCAATTTGATAGATAGATTTCATAATAGGGTTAAATAAGCAATTGCCTCTCAAATTAAAATTTAAAACCCAACAAATTGTAAACATACTGCCTCACCAGTCACAAATTGTAAACATACTACCACCTCAGCTTGCTAGGCGTATTATATTAGCTGGAATCGAACTCTTCCACGAAACGAAACCTCCAAAGTTTTTATACACACGCCAAAGCAACCATCCGATTACAGTTTACAGATTTTAATTTCGAAGGAGAGAGAAAAAAAAAAGAAGGGAGAGCTCGCAGTCGCAGCGCCGGCGGAGGGAGAAGACACGGCGGCGATGGCGGCGCGGGCGGAGGCGGCGGCGGCGGCGCCGCGGCCGCTGCAGGCGGCGGCGATCGGCGTCTGCGCGGAGACGGGCTTCTGGGACGCGCTCCGCCGCCTCAAGCTGGACGTCCTCGGCACCGACGACTCCCCCATCCCCATCACCGGTGCGAACCCCTCCTCCTCCTCCCCTACCTTTGCTTTTGTTGTTCTTAGTTCCGATGTTTTCTTCCCCCCGAAAACCTGCCGTCTCGAGCGGGGAACGGGAAGCGTGCGTATCCCCGCGTCTCCCAGGCTTCCCCCATGGAATTCGGACGCGGTGGTGGTTCGTCGGAGCGATTGTTAAGAGCCGTATTGTTTGCTTATGGGTGGCGATGCCGAGTGTGGATGCTTGTAGATTAGGGGTTTCGCTCGCCTGAGTTGGTGGTTTGTGAGCGGAATATTGTTTAGGGAGAGGTTGCGGCGATACGAGGTTTTCCTGAATGCCACATTGAGTTGGTCTCCGTGCGGGAGTTCATGATTTTGTCGTCGTAATGGGTGTATAGTAATTTGGATTTTAGAACTTCTTCTGTTGTTTAATGATCAATTTCTAGCCCGAAGCCCTACTGTTTGTTGTCATTACTGATTGCTCTTTCTGCAATATTGCTGTTAGCACCCAAACAGTGATGTATTTCAGATTGTCTGTTGAGAATCCTAAGAGAAGTACTAGCAATTAGCAAATATAATTCAAATTTTGCTAGGTCATTTTGGTTTTTTAGTTTGGTCGTCCATGTGTTGCCGTGTGAATGGTTTTTTCATGGTTTGATTTCTCAATCAACTGAACAAGTTTGCTGAACTTTATTGCTAGGTTATTATACTCCACGCCAATATGAGAAAATTGCAAGCCTCTTTAGGATATGCCCAGAATCGATACTGCCA